CTGCTATCGCTGCTGGGTTGGCCGTCGGGCTTGCTTCTATTGGACCTAGAGTTGGTCAAGGCACAGCTACAGGGAAAGCTGTAGAAGGGATTGCGAGACAACTAGAAGCAGAGGATAAAATACGGGGTACTTTATTACTTAGTCTGGCTTTTATGGAAGCTTTAACTATTTTTGGGTTGGTTGTAGCATAGTCCTCTCAATGCTCTAACGCCCACACTGGATATGGACCGAACTGTCTCACGACGTTCTGAACCCAGCTCACATACCGCTTTAATGGGCGAACAACCCAACCCTTGGAACCTACTACAGCTCCAGTGGCGAAAAGCCGACATCGAGGTGCCAAACCTTCCCGTCGATGTGAGCTCTTGGGGAAGATCAGCCTGTTATCCCTAGAGTAACTTTTATCCGTTGAGCGACGACCCTTATTTATCCATTTTTATTAAAAAGAATAAAACAAATGAGATAACATAATATAAAGAAAACTGATCTGAGCTGATCAGGAGGGGATCACGGGCTGACCACACGCTGTTGGACTGCTACCTATTCGCCGCTGATGAGGAGGAAAAAGGGGGGTGTACCTGCAAAATACTCCGATGCCAAAGTAAGGAGTTAGGCAGAGTGAGAGAAAAGCACAAAAAGTGGGTAAGAAGTGAATTACCTGACCCTCTTGGGGAAGAGGGTATTTATAGAGAGACCCCAGCGCTGGGCCAACGGTCACTTGTGTTGGGCTGGATTGCCAGGCCCAACCCAGGTGACTGTTAGGGCTTACGTGGCGTAGTGAGGACCAGGACGTGGTCTTCGCCCTAGTTCAACTGCCCCGTGATCTCCGGAAGGTGTGTTGACCTGCTCTTTCGGAGGTGGGTAGTTGGTTAGTGATGTGTCCCCGCAGAGAGGAGCACGTGGGGAACGTGTGCGTGGCACGTTGTTCTCCCCGCGAAAGGGAGCTCGCGGGGTTCCCCGGAGGCACGTCGTCCTCCCCGAGGAGGGGAGCACACGTGGGTGTAGGAGAGCCATGAGGTCCTGCTCGACGGCATGGGGAATACCGCCCGCAGAGGGTGGTGCGTGGTCGTGCGGGCGATTCACTCGCCCGGCGTGGACAGGATCGTTTTCCCCCGCGGGAAGATCATTCTAGTGAGTCGGGGATCTTGTGCCCGACGTGGTAGCTCGGACCGGGCAGGGCCTGGTGGAACATTATTGGGCTGGGCCAACGTAGTTCATCCCGGGGCCCAGTCCAGAACAAAAACTAAATTTGTTCATCCATAACTTTTTTTTTAACAATTACCTTTGATTTGAAATAAAGTACTGTAAGACAATTGTGTCTTGATGACCTTTTTTTTGTCTTCTTCTATCTTCATGTATTTATCTTCCTAATCCTTGTTTTTCGTTATTCTCAATTTTGTTTTGTTTCTCTTTCTTTAGTAACCCATGCAATTACCACACATCCGGAGTAAAAACTGTATCATGTGATGGATAACATTTATATTAAACGTGGTAGTAGTATATTACAAACTCATATTTTTAATTTATGATTTTTCTAAAAATACATAAGGGTAAATTGGGAATACTAAAAAGAGCTACTCCAAAACTCTCTATCCCTTTCATATAGTACTAGCGTCCAAACAGACACTCCCTTATCCGTTTGTCCGCTTTTTTATTGTGATTATGTGTTAAAATATAAATCAGTATTTTTTTTTTTAATTTTGTGATATGTACTCATGTGCTTATTTGTCCATTTTTAGCACGCATATATAATAAACAGTATTTTTAAATTTAATTTAATTTTAAATATTTATGTGATTCATACATATTTTTCGTGTATATTTTGTTATAAAATTATTTATACACAAATATTAAAATTTAAATTAAGTTCATGTATGCTCTATCTAAAAAAACATATAATATTTTCTTAATTAAACATCTCTCTATTTATCGTTATATTATAGTCAACGATATAATTTGAAGTTTTCTTCTAACTATATAGTATTTATAAAAGATAAAATTGAAATAAAAATAGTTCATATCACTTATGTAGTTATATAAAATATAAAAATGAAAAGCCATTTTAGCATAATTAATAGATGATATGAGAAGGTAAGTAGTTACATCATATTTTTGTTCCATAAACGGTAAATATATATAGAATGTGTGGTCTTTTTGTCTCTTTGTTCTATTCAAATCTTTATTATTCAATTACTTTTTTTCCGCAATAATCCAGTCATGAAAATTAGTTTTGTTTGTACAACTCACATTACATAACATATAACTATATATGAAACAACCGTTTAAATTATATATGAAACAATGATTTAAGATGTTGTATTTGTTGTGATTTTGTGTGAATATAAAAGTGACAAATACAATTGATGATACCATACTCTTATTATTTGCAACAAAATACTCTTATTGTTTGCAAAGGAACAAAAATATAATAGCAAAAAATAAAGAAAAGATAAATTTAAAGATGAAATCGGAACAAAGTGGTATAAAAGGAGTTATTAAAAAATATAATAAAAATACAACACTGAATCTCATTTCTTTGTTACAATAGTTTAGAATAACTGCACAATTGATTGTGTTGTGATCCACATAAGTATACATATACATGAATGAATCAGTTTTTTTTCTTAATTACTCGATAGTTATGTACAAAATATTTGAACTGACAACACAATATAAATCTTCTATTGTTAGTTTTAGATGAAGAAAATATAATCACGTGAAAAATCAAGTTTAAATAAAGAAATCAAGAAAATTCATTTTCCTTCTGTTCCATATGAAATATATAAATTTGAAAAAAATAAAAATTAACACTAAAAAAACATTTAAAAAAAGATAGGGAAACATTTTCTACTATGGAGTGGTTGCTATTGTGTTGCAACAATTTCTTTATCTTTTGATTTTTTCTTAGCACATTTATTGTCGAGAAAATGACGCATTTCATTTCTCCGATTCTTTCAATATTTCCATTATCTAAGTAAAAATGGTTAAACATTGAAAAATAATAATAGCAAACCATTGAAAAGAGAAAAACACTCGTTCAAAATCAAATATTACAGTGAAATAAAGGAAAAAAAGAAAAGAAAATACATCCCAGGAAGAAAATGTGTTACTACTTTGTGTCAAAAAACATAACTAATATTTTTGCATCTACATGAATATAACAAATAAATAAATGAACTCAAGAGTCTCAATAACAACAATACAAATTGGAAGCAAATTGATCAATAATCAAACAAAAACAAAACTTGCACACAACAAAAATAATATGTTAAAAGTTACAAAATTAAGAGATAAATTTAAAATTTAATTGAACAAATTTGTTTCAACGTCAAAATTGTCGATTAAAAAATTTGAAATTAAAGAGACAAAGTGATGAGAGATAGAGAGGGAGAAAATTATCCATTGAATCTTTGTTTTCCTTTATGAAGTTTATATTCTTATGAAGTTATATTTTTTTCGCTTTCTTATAACTTCTAGATAGTTATTGCACGTCTCTAGTCTCTTTTTTACAATAATTTTTAGGCGGTTATTATATATGGAAGTTATTTAAATTAAGACTTTGAATTGTAAAATATAAATTAAGTGAATGGTAATTAAGGAATAAAAAATAGGTCATACCAAAATTGTGTATTTCCTTTATAGATAGGTATAGATAAATTATATATACTTATAATTATGGCTGAATTTATTTAAAGTTTTATTATTTTAAATCTAAAACAATTAGAGTCTATCTCTATTTAATTTTTTAAATATTTTTATTAGGCCACTTTCCACATGAAGACAATATATCCCCGAATTATATCTGTCACTTTCCAAATTTTCATAATTTCAAGACTGTTATTGAAAAAGAAATTGAAACAAGTAAAAATTATTTACATTAACAAAAATTTTATTTTTTAATCAAAATTTTTGAAATTTCTATTAAAAAATGAAAAATTTTTAAAAAAAATATGAACAACACCAAAAATTTTATTTTTTCATCTGAAATTTCAAAATTTTCGAAAAAAATATGAAATTTCTTTTTACACTATCAAAAATTTTAAAATTTTCAACACTGTATTAAAAATTTTGAAAATTTCAATATTGTATTAGTAATTTAGAAATTTTCAATAGTATAAAAAAATTTCATATTTTTTTAGAAATTTCGAAATATGCGATTAAAAAATGAAATTTTCGATATTTTTCCTATTTTTTATCGAAAATTTTAAAATTTCTGATAATAAAATGAAAAATTTCAAAATTTCTAATACATGTTACAACATATAAAATTCAAAAAAAAAAAAATCCAATTTTTACATAAAAATATAATTATAAAAGAGAAATAAAAGAAATGCATTGACAGTATTTTATACTGTCAACCAATCACAACTATGTATTAGAATAAAATATATTTTTATTTTAAAAATACTGATATTACATGATAATTATAAATTTTTTAAGGGAAATGCTAACGAGTGCCCTCAGGGCATTGGTTAAGAGATTAAAATGGTAAGTTGCACATTATTTAAGAAATTGAAAATATATTTTTTTCTAAATATATGTGTATCCAATGCCCTAAAAAGAGAAATAATCAGAGTTTTTAAAGAATATTGTGTATTGAGTGAACTAAATATAACATATTTTCCTTATTTAGAATTCTTAACTAGTGCCCTAAAAGCACTGGTCAGCATGACCCAATTTTTAATTGATTGCATTTGTAAATATGTCTACACTATATGCTATCTTTAAATTCATTATACCATGTACAAGTGTAAACAGTTAAATAATAAAAAATTTAATTAATATACATTATTTTACGGTGTCAATTAATCATTCTCATATTCCGCTATATTATATTAAAATTTTTAAATTATTAATATGAAATGATATATTATTCCGCTGTACTGGAAATTTTAAATTATAAATTATTGCTATAACATGACATATTGATATTGTAAAATTAAGGTGCATACAGATTAAACTCTAATCTTTTTCCATAAACCAATCCTCATACCAAAATAATGGCTGCTTCATCACCGTCTCTGTCTCTGTGTCCGTCACCCGTTGCGGCGGCGACAACAATAACCGATCTCAGCGAGGACTCAATAGGCCAATGCGCAACAAGTCTAACCCTCCGCGATGTGTGCAATTTAGCAATGAGCTCCACCGCCCTCAAACGCCTCGCATATACCGATTCAGTTTGGCAACACTTGTTCAAGTCGCAATCCAATCTCTTCCTATTCCAATTCGTCAATGAATTTTCAAAATGATTCAATTGAATCAAAGAAATACTTAATTAATTAAAAATGTTGTTCGTGTTGTTGCAGGGATCGTTGGCATCGAGAATTACCTTCCGGTAATGGAACTTCAGCAAGGGATCTGTACATTTCTAGACACACTGCTTTGCAGCAGTTCAAATTCACTGATCCTTTTTCAACAGACTGTCATACATATTCTAATAGAAATTTCGATCATTTGCTTCTTCATCAAAACAATATTATCTTTGCACAGGTTACAAGTGTTTATTTATAAATTTTTATGGGCAGTTTATTCTGAAAATACTCTATGAATTTGTTATGAATGTGTATCTGAACACTTATGACAGAAGTTGATCCATATAGCCGATCCTATTTAGAGCATCTTTAATGGGATGAATTATAAACTAAATTGGGTCAATTAAGTTGATCTAACTTATTTTTATTCCAATGGTGGTTGCTTATAAATAATTCAAACTTGACCCCGCATAAATAATGTTCGAAGTATCAAAATGACCGCTAAATAATCTTTTAATGCTAAATATGCTAACAGTGTTAGTTGCTGTTGGCTATGGAAAGCACGGCATAATATAGTTACTGCCATGTAGGTTTGGTCCAATGGTAGTAAACTATAAATACTAGTAGTTATAACAAACCAATGCTTTACTTCACCTGCATTAATGTTGCTCTTAGAGAGACGAGTCTTGGTTAATGTTGTTGTGTGTATCTAAATACTTATACAAGTGTTTATGTGATTTGCTACTTTGCATTCACTCTTCTGAATGTTGCTGAATGTTGACCAGGGCTCATTTACAGGAGTGATAGGTTTCAATGATAATCAAATGGGAGTATTAAAGCATACCGTGAATGATAATCATAAAGCAAGAGTTACTTGTATGAGGTAACCTGTGTTGCATTTTTTTCCATTGATGGTGAGTTAATTGCTAAATAATTTGATGTATTTGATTCATATATAAAATCATCTGAACAGGCATATCTTGCTCCCGATGTATCTGACTTTATTCGACTTTATGATTTTAACAAATATTAACAAACACACTTGCTGAAACCAAACCTAGTTACTTTTTTCTCTACTCCTATGTATCTTGTGCCAATGGAAATTCAAACCGCCACACCCTGAAATTTATGACCGGGAACAATTTTGACAGATCCTGAAGTTTAACTATACACATCAAGCATTCTGGCGATGATTTCAATTAGATTATCAAAACATTGGTATACGTGTTCATCTTATGGTAGTAAGTAACTTATTTGTTTTGATTTGTGAAAACTGTAAAATGTAAATGGCTGCCCATGTAGTTTTGTAAATAAATATAACCTATATGTAAGATGATACTCAAAGTCTTTGTCAGGGAAATATGTGTAAACTAAAATTCCTTATTTTTTATATACCCAAAAGAAATATATTTTCTAGTCAAATGCTTATGAATTATATTTATTTTGTATAGTTGGAACTGAAGATTAGTATGGGGCAGTATTGCCAATTTCACATTGCAGAAAATTACAGTGTGTTTAAACATCGTTAAGCTATAGCCGCTATTTGTACGTGGCCTAACTCATAGTCTGCTTGATGGCTATTAGTAGTACTCAGAGTAGTCAATAGCAGCCATAATGGTGCTATCCCGCTATAGCAGAGCGGAGCGGAGGCTGACTGCTATGGGAAGAGCTTTAGCGCTGCAGAATACTATAGCTGCTGCTATAGGGTGTATAGCGGGATAGTGAAGCAGGGCGGTTCCCGGCCCGGAGCTGTTTCTAGCTTACTATCCCTCACCCCCTTAAAAAACCGAAATATTCCCTTAAATTTTCAACGTTTTTGAAGGATAATTTTGGGTTTTTTAATCAAATTTGAGTTGAGACTCAACTTTAACCTTCCTTCATAGTCGTATATGCACTTCAAGAGTATTGTGTGCTTTGATTTATGACTATTTATCAGTTGAGTTATTTGTTTAATTTTACATTAAATACATGTTTTTAATTATTATATGTAATTTGTTCAAATAATATAAAATAGAGCTTTCATTCCGCTATATGCTATCCCACTATCCCACTTTTGAGGTCGTCCGCTCCGCGCCGCTATCCAGGAATGACTACTCTGGTAGTATTACTATTACTAGTACCAACATTCCTGGAAGTTTTGGCAGTTGTTGAGTTTCACAAGTCAAATATCTTTTCCACTAATTATAATTTTAATTTTATGAAATTCCGGAAAGTTAGCTTAAATTCTGAAATTTCATTGCAGGTTGTTTTCCCTGGGGGAACAAAATGTTGTGGCCACCTCAAGTTGTGATCACTCCATTCGTCTGTGGTGGAAGGTATCACTTAGTTTATGCAAAACCATAATAGAAACCTCATGTTTATATACACTTAATAGAGAGCTGCATGAAAATAGAATCACGAAAGTATTATAATGTTCACATTTTAATGTTTGATAAAGAAGCGTATGATGGGATATGTCTTAATGTTGATATCCCTTTTTTTATTGAAATTAAATTTAAAAGAAATCCATGAATTTGTTTTATGTTAAAATTTAATTATCTATTATTGCCTTGTGTTGTATTTCAACTTTAAGTGTGTTCAGGACACCTAATACACAAAATTAAAACAGAAAGAAAAAGCATTTTTAAAATTTTTGTGTTCCTTCGCTTAAGTTTGTGCAAAATATTGTTTATGTCATGTGTCTTATTTTGTTTCATGTTTCTTCATCCTTGCATTGTAGGATTCTTGTCTGCGATGTTTGAGAGGTCACAATGGTCCAGTGTTGTCACTATCAAATAAATTATTGGGAGACGGTAGCAGCAAGGTGTTGGCAAGTGGAGGAGAAGACGGTACTGTTCGACTATGGTCCATTAACTCAAGTGGAAAAAGAGGGCAGCATGCTTTGAAGGCTACACTCTATGGACATGAAAAAGCTGTATGTTTGATGTCAGTTTCCGGGTATGAGTTTGTCTATCATAGTTACTTGCCTTTTACCAATGTTATGTTGAAAAAAATGTAATGATGGGTAGCATTTGGGAATTGGTTGAAACAGATTGCCTATTATTTTCTGTTTTAGTAGTCAGCCATATGCCTATACATTTTAAACTTACAATTTTACTTACTCTCTCTGGTTTTAAATATAAACAAAAAAGCTAAATCACGCCATTTAGTTAATACTATTACATAGTTATCTTGATGCAATAAAAATAATAATTGCATTCTACAAACTATCCTTCATTTGATTTTATATTATGGGAATAAAATGTTGCTGGAAATCTTAAATTCTAACTTAATGGAAGAGTATTTTAGGAGTGCTTTCAATAAACAGGGTAAAATTAGTTAATATTTGCTTATTTATTTCTAACCGTCAAGATTAGATTTTTGTTATTTATATTTGTGACCAGAGGAAGTATATTCTAGTTCTTATGATTTTCACTTGTATGTTCTGGCTAGCAAGTTAGCTGGTTTCAGAGATTCAACTGATTAAACTTCCCTGTGTGTTAAAACCAATTTACAAATTTTTGCTTAGCAGTAAAATATTTGTTAACAGCAAGCTTAAAACTTTGCCAATCTTTACAAGATGTATATAAGAAATGAATTTGTTGTTGTAAACGGCAACATGTTTATGAGTCCTAAGATTGTTAAATTATAAGAGAAGAGTTTAATTTGAGAATTTGACAAGAATGAGCTAATGTTGAATTTTTATTAAATTTATTGTATTTCATTTTTAATTCTATCGATTTGAGCTTGTCATTAATTTTCTTGTCGAGATATATTTAACCGGAACTTTACCTGTTTTTTAAAATAAGTGAGTTCAATTTAAAAAATAGTTAGTGTAGCAGAGATGAAGATGTTGCGTTGTATGTGTGGTTAGATTAGACATGATAAATTAAAAATGAAAATATTAGTGTGTTGGGGTAACACCTACGGTATAGAAGATGGTGGAAAATAAACTTAGGTGGTTTCGGCATGTAGAGAGAAGACATGTAGATTCTGTGGTAAGGAGAGTATATCAGATAGAGATAAGTCAAACAGCTAAAGAAAGAGGAAGACCTAAAAAGACTATAAGATAAGTTATTAAGAGAAATCTCGAAATTAACGATTTGGATAGAAGCATTGTCATAGATAGAACATTATGGCTAAAGTTGATCCATGCAGCTGATTCCACTGAGTGGGATTAGGCTTGGTGGTTGTTGTCCATTAAAATCACTCATCAGCACTACAAAGAAAATTGAAAGTGATTTTCTTACATGAATAGTCTTTTTAATGGTAAGCAAGTTCTATGTAATTTGTCAAAAAATGAGTTGCTTTGCATGGCATGTGTCCAATGTTTATTTATTCACTATTACTCCTTTCATTTAAGTACTTGTCATCTATGGTTTTAAATTGCGGTCGTGGATGCGGTTGCGGTTGTGGGTGTTGCAATACATATTGCGGTGTGAATTTTTATTGAGAAGAGTTTAAAATACAATGTTAAAAATATACTTAATGTTAAGGTTTTTCATTGTAAATTGAGTTTTGAGGTTCTGAAATTTTGAGATTTGATGAAAATACTTGAAAAAACATGGCTGGAATTGTGTGATGTGGTTTCTACTGGGGATGGATGTGTGATCTTAAATCTCATTGCAATTGGTGTCCGATACGGCTGCGGTAGATACGGTTGCGGAGGCTACTGCAACCGCAATATTGCGCCTACAATTGCGGTTGGTCATCTCCTTCAACTACAATGATTGATCCTTCCTGTTCTCATTTTTCAGGCACAAATCTTCGCTTTTGGTGTCCATCTCAAGAGATTCTAAGGTTCTTTCTCTCTCTTACATTCCTGTATCTTTATGTTGTCGTGTTAGTTTGCTTGTCTGTGTACTTGATTTATGAATTTTCTCTTTATCTTAAATAAGTTCAACATTTTAACTAGTGGAGCTGTAGAAGTAAACTAGTTCCAGAATGTATTATTTTATGTTTAGGTGCAAATTACTATACAGATGAGTTGAACATTAACATTTATCTTGTACTATTCACATAATATTTGTGGCTTCAAAATCGTGTCATGGATGATACATACACATTTCTCCGCTTCAATGCTTCTGTTAAGCACTATAATTGAAGCCTTTTATTATGCTATTATAGGTGAGAGTTTGGGATACAACTAGATCATCATCGGTTCGCTCCTCATGTTGTGTGGGAATGACTTCTGTTCATGGCGCACCGGTAAACATGAAATGCCATGAATCGTTGTTGTATGTGGCAGCTGGTCCCTCTGTCACTGCAATTGATTTAAGGACAATGCAGAGAGTTCTCACAGCAGCCGTCCATCAACCAAAGTTATATTCATTTGACATCGCCCCTTCAAAATCTGTAATATGCACAGGCGGTGATGGCAGGTATGACTTTTTGGAAAGAAACCTTGTTACTGCTGCTAAGTTACTCACGACATTGACATTGACACACATGTGAAGTAAACACTAATTATATAATTTAAGAAAATGAAAGTGATCGAATGTAAACACCTGTGGCACTGACATTGACATGTGTGAAGTAAAACTGATGATATGATTTAAGAAAATGAAAGTGATTGAATGTAACCATGTGTGGCAGTGCGTTGTTAGGTTTAGACACCGAATAAGCCTTCATTGTGAAGTATTAGCGCTGCTTTGAAATATTATGTCATGTTTAGCTTTTTTGTAGATATGTAGTTTACGTGTAGTTAATGGTGGAATACTTACCAAAACTATAATGCTGCAGAGCACTGCTTTGGGATATCAGGAGAAATCAAAATTGCTTAAAGCCAGAACCGATAGCCGAGTTAGATGGACATTCTGGGCCAGTAACTAAGTTGCTTATGGATTCATACAAAATAGTTACAGGTGGTTCTGATGATAATTGTGTGAAGGTATGGGAAGTTGGGACTGGTGAACAAACAAATTCATTTATTGGCTGTTTATGTGATGATGAGAATCGTAGATGTGGCTGTGAAGCAATGGCTATAGATGGGTGTAGAATTGCCACTGCTACGTATTGTAAAGATTATAATTTTGGTGGTGTTGGTGTTGTTGTAACCTTTAGGGACTTCAACAGTGCTACAAGTCCTATTACCAAATTAGAAACATCTAAATTTTGGGATTCTTAGTTTGATGGTATCAGTGATAACTGATGTGTGAATAATATATGGTTTCCAAAATGGTATGTAGAACAATTATTTTTTTCACTTGGTTTTTATATGGCATGGCATGGCAGAATGTTGCATCATACTAGTTTGATTCTAGTTTGACTGAGGATATTTTATAGAGTTTAAATTTGTATTATTACCTTTTTCATTTTGGTGTGTGCTTATTTAAATATGCGATGATCACTAAACTAATAGAAAAAAATTAAAATGAATGACATGCTTGTATTATATAGGGAAATTTGGATGTTAGGAAGAATATTTTTTCTCATTTTATCATTCGTGTTCTCACTATTGTTGACTTAGCAGTGTTGCGGTGCAAAAAATATTCGAGCGAGCATACATTCGAAAGTAATGAAGTCGCAACTGATGTTTACTTTTAATAGGAAAAACATCAATAAATCATTTAAAGAACAAAAAATACGGTCATCAGAATAATATTCAAGTTCGAGAGTTGGTTATGGGTGAGAAAGGTATTAACATTCCATGATATCTGTTGTAAACAACGGTTACCCTTAATTAATTTTGCGAATAAAAGTTTTAGTATAAGGTGTTTGATCTCTCTTAATTACTATGACGTATTTATAGGAAAGAAAAAGAAAGAAAAACAAATGTTTTTTTAGTAGAGTATTGGACAAAACATTAAATTTTTGTCCTATGTATCTTCCAGTGTGATGGGGAATTCAAAATTATGTAGTTTTTGGTAGCAAAAATTTGTGGGATTGTTGATTTTAAATAAAAAGTTTGATCACGCAGAGGCAATAAATGTTCGTTGATTGAAAATAAAAAAGGGGTTTAATCTAGTTAAGGCGGAAAATAAGAGTTTGTTGGTTGTCGTTTTTAGAAGAAAGATGAGCAATCGAACAAGAACAAAGTATGCGACTTGTATTCGCTTACTCGATGATAAGAGGATTAATATCCAGTTATTCCCCTTTCAAATGATCGACCTGTCGAACCCTATCTAGTAGTTGAGTCATATCTCTTAAATATTAGGTGTCTAACTTTTTTCTAATGGAATAATCAAGACCCCATACAGCCAACTCAACTAATTCATGTTCAGACATCTGAGTGAAACACCTTGATTTCATTATCCTAAATCTATTTATGTAATCATCCATGGTTTCAGCCACCTTTTGCCTCACATTGGCTAATTCCTCGAGGCTAATCTTAGATTGGCCCATATAGAATTGTTCATGAAACACCCTTTTCAATTGATTCCAATTAAATATGAAATGCGGAGGCAATGTGGTGAACCACATAAAAGCGTTCTTTGTCAAAGAATTAGAAAAATATTTTATTTTCAAATTCTCATTATTGGCTATATCACCGACCTCTTATGATACCTAGCAACATGCTCGATTGCAGACTCATTGGTGTCACTAGCAAACTTGGTGAAATTTGAAGACTTTCCATCTCCTAGGAAGTTCGGTATGCCAAACATATTCCGACATAGAAGACACATAATTAGGCCTATGAAGGCCAACGTTAAGGTGATTATGGGCCAAGATCTATTTGACCACACTAGTTATAATATTTTTCCCCAAAGTTGTTTTGTTAGATATTCCTAAGTACTTGATCGACATCTTGGTCTCTTGGCACCATAACTATTTTAAGGTCATTTTGGGCTTGGTTTCCTTTGAATACCCTCAGTAGAGGTTGTTTGATAGGAATTTGGTTATTAGGTGCTGATACAACTAGCACTGGAGACGCAAAAAAAAAAGAAGCAATTCTACTCATTTGATGGGCCAACTGCTGGTATCTCTGGGTGGTGTTTTGTATTAGAGGATGAAACACAATACCTATTTGTTGTGTTAACATGTTCTCCATCTCGTGGTTACTTTTATCCATATGTTTCCTCATGGACGATAGAGAATTTGTAGTTAAGGCTAACATTCCCGGAGGAATATATTGAACTCTTCCTTATGGTTGTGCCATCCGATCAGGGTTGCTTATGGAAAATCCTGACGCCAAATGTGGATTGAGGGGTGACATTACTGTTGCAGCATTATCTGCAAACATCGAAGCATGACTTTGTAACACTGCCATCATGGCAGTTGGTATGCCATATGGTAATCCTTAGTAACTAAGAATAGAGTAAAACTTGGGACATAAGGAGATTAAGGTCCCTTAAAACTATCGATGTAGGCATGGGTGTAGTTGGAATGTTTGTTACTGGTGGTAAATAAACTACTACTCTTGGTATTGAAGTCGAAGTCGCTACTGGAGTTAAGATTAGGTCTATGACTCCGACAAGGTTTGATGACCCTGTTGTACCAACTATCAAAGTGAATGTTGGTTCAAGGTCTGAAGCATCATTTCGGGAAAGAGAAGTATTTTTTGGATAAACCATTTCTGCTAAAGTCCTATAACTTCTAAGACGCATATGACTCTGGACATTGAAAATATTTCATGTATAAAAAAGATGTCTAAATAATACAATAATTTATTGTAAAAGGAAAGAAATTTTTTGCACAAAATGTCCCACTGGGTGTGCCAATTTGTTCGCTGATGTTTTTAGCGAAAAATACGAGTTTAAAAGTTTGTGAGATTAACTCGAAAAATCCTGAGAGCAATTTTGTGCAAACACGTTTACAAGAAAGTATGTATGTGAAGTGATCGTGAATGTCTGTATGTAAATAGAGTGAATACAAACTTTAATCATGAAAAAGCTTGAATTAAAGTAAAATAAAATTGCAATAAATGACATTAAATAAATGCAATAAATGATAGAAAGTAAAATGCTTCAATGAAGGAAACATAGCCAATAAAGATAAGGATGCATACTCACATGTTACTCATAAATTATTTTGCACTTTGACTTGGGTGATCCAGTTATATAGAAAAAAATATATGAAGTTTGAGACCTCGATTACAACATATGAAACTACTATATATACTAAACTAAAGATAATCGTCTCTGATAACTTATTACTAGAGAATAAACACATCTTCAAGAACATGCAACTTGATCTTCTGATGCACTTCCACGTCATTAGTACCTGAAAACTCCTGAAAGCCATTATCCCACATTCATAACTGTTCTTAGAGACTCGTAACTTCTTGCTTGTCAAAGGTGATTGTTGATAGTGCTAAGTCCCCTCTTCAGTCTTTGGTTTCCAAAATCTTCTAAGTCTTTGAAGTCTGTCGAACGCTTCGACTTTGATACAATATTGAGTGACCAATTAGATATGCTCCTGAAACTCCTCCAAACCATGTCTCAACCTGACATTGAGACTCTTCGAAACTATGGTTCAAGATGCTTGTCGAAACGTTGTAGTCGACGTACCATTCCTATCGACTCGTGTCATTCAATGGTACCATTTAGAATTTTCCTAATGCAAAATTCAATTTATTTTTTCCCAAATAGAAATTCCAGGCTAACACCAGTGTAAAAGCTTGTAAGGTTTAGGAACTTGAAGACTAACCACTCCAAGATCCTTGTTTGTGGAGAAAGAACTAACCGCCCGGATTCTTTGTTTGGAAGAGAAGACTCAAACTACTATATTCCAAGTTCTTGTATCATTTCGTTGGAGGTCAACCATCATTTTCTTGTATAAGGGGGTTTGTGAGTCTTTCCTACTAAAAGCTCTCAAAGTTTATTGGATACTCTCAAGATCAATTCTTGCAGAGAGGAGTAAGTTATTTTCTTATTTGACAGAACCTCTATACATCGTGGTGTTCATCACTTTCCCTTAACTCTTTTAAATTCCACATTTTATTTTCTACTTCTAAGCATTTGAAAATGTTTTTAATATCTAATTTTATTTCCTAATGTTTTTCAAAATCAACTTTTTCCAAGCCACACAATTGACCCCCCTTTTGTTTATGAAGTCTCAAGTCTAACAACTATCATTAGTAATTCTCTAGAAAGTTAGAAGGAAACACCTGATTATAAGTTTAAACGATCAAGCTAATGACCTTAAAGAAGTTTTGTGTTTGAGGTAACCCACATATTTGGGTGATTTAATTTACTGGTTTGTCTAATTTTTTTAAATTTTTTTTGTTGCTTGATTTTAATTAAAATATCTTTTTATCTGAAATTTTACAGCTTAGTGGCATTGCTTCTTCATCAATTATTACCACAAGAGAAAAATAAAAAGAATTCATACATTGATGAAATAACCTAGTTTTTATGGAAGTTCTAAATGCGGATTGCAAAACAAAGAAGATGAGTGATTGAAGTTGCATTTTCCTCCTAGGGTTTACCCATTTATGTTTTATTGTTTGTCAATTTATTTATTTGTTTAATTTTGTCGCAATTGAGTCTTCTCATATAGCTGTGTGTTCTAGGGTTGAGTTCTTAATATATTTTACACATGCATAAATAAAATTGTTTAATTTTAGTCTTAGCAACATGCTTCTAGTAAAATAGTTATAGGTTTGAATCAAGAAGAACATTTGAGAATGGTTAAAGTCATGCCATGTTCTGATTCAGATTATCACTTTATTTTTATGAAAAATTGAAAATATTGAAGTGTGATTTGAATCACAGGATGTAATGATCGAATCAAACTGTGTGGAAAAATTATGATTTTTCTTTTGTGAGTCTAATTCAAATCACAAAACTTACTGATTTAAATCTAACACATTTATGAAAAACATGATTTTGACTATGTGAATTTGATTCGAATCACAACAATCCATGATTGGAATCGTAGAGGTTTAATTTGAATCACATATATACTTGACTCGAATCAAATTTAGACAACAAACTTTGGATTTTGGTCTGTGATCCTAAGCCGAATCACAAGTCTTGTTGACTCGAATCACATGATTTAAATCATAAAAAAATGGTTGATTAGAATCATGGGAGCAATTTTTCTTGGTTCTTAGATCTTGATTCAAATCATTCACTTTCTTGATTCAACTCATACTTCTTACTTGTGAATCAAACCAAAGGGCATTTTTTCTCTCATTTTTGTGCTATATCTCCAACACATATATAAATCATTTTCCAAAAGTGC